GCCACGCCCGCCCATTCCACCCACGCCCCCATCCCACTCTCCGGAGTTCCCGAGAGTCTTTCTTCCGAGCGGGTCGCCCTTCTCGTCTTCTGTGGCGATGTGTCTCCAGGCTATCCTTTCCTTTTCCTTCCCCTCCTCTCTCTCTCTCTCTCTCTCTCTCTCTCTTCACCAACCCTCTCCGTCCCGACGCGTCTCGCCGCGCGTCCGGCCGTCCGCGATTTCTTTCGGCGCGACACGCGTTCCCGACGTGCCTCCCGATTATTCGGAAGATACCACCGTATCTCGACGCGGCGCGCGATCGCAGGTGGGAAAAAGCGGCGGCGCGAGAGTGACGTGACAATTCGTCCCGCGAAAGTTCGGGCCGAAACTTGGGGGCGACCGCGCGCTCTCGGCGGGAACAATTATACGACGCGAGGCGCAAATTGCGTTGGCGCGATGGAAATTTCGCGCGTCCGGCTCGCGTTAACGACGTACCCGGCATTAACGATCCCGCGAATTATTATTTACCCGCGTCGCGGGTCCGACGCGTGATTCGCCGCCCCCCCCCCCCTCTTTTCTTCGCGGATTTAAATAATTCGGCTTTTCGAAACGCCGCGGGATCTCCACTTGTTGGATCGGCCGCCAGGCGGACGCGTTAAATTACCGCGAAGCGGCGCGTTAAAGAATTCCGCGTCCCCCCGCACCCCGCAAACTTCGGCGTGCGAGTCTCGTTGCTCTTCCCCTGCCGCCGCGATCGTCTCACCCGCGAGCGTCGGGCCCGCAAACGAACACGCTACATCATTTACGAAACAAATATATTTCGCGTTCGTTGCCACGGCGCTCTTTGATACCCGCGCGCGTAAAATGATTCAGTAGGAACGCTCCCCCGCCTGACAGTGATGCAGCGGCTTCTACTTAGCCGACTTCCCGCTTCCCATAACATTTAGCCGCCACGGAGTGCGCGCGGCCTCGTGTTTCTCCGCGCTCGGATTTTTTATCCGCGCCGGTCGAACGTCGATCGAATAATCTCGGCCTCCCCCGCCGCCAGGGAAGATCGGCGCGATCGGCGCGGCGCGCGATTATGTAATCCCTTTATAACGATCTCATTAAAGTTAGGCTGGTTAAGAGTGGAATTTACAAACAGTAATACGATTTACTTAATAATGATTTATTTCGCGCCCGTGACGCCGTTTGCAGCCGTAAATTTCCTACGCGCGGACATTTATTGCCGCGGCGTAACCCAAGCCTATATACGATCTCCTCGTCGCTTCCGAGATCTAGCGGTACCCGGAGCTACGTTTTTCCATGACGAATTTCCAGGACGAGTCGCAGCCCCGCCGGCGCGAATTATCTCGCGCGATCCACTTTTCTCCACCCGTGCGACGGGGGCCGAGAGCGATCTCGCGGGGCTGCCGGAATTTCCGACAGCAGTCCCCGTCGACGCGATCGTTCGCCAATTTGCGGACCGCAGCCATCCGGGACCGGCCGGTCCGCCGGTATCGACGACCTATCGAGAGGACCGCCGAATCTCCACCCTTGTTAGCGCGAGAATGTAAATCAACTCGTATAATAGCGTGGCAGCTGGGGTATCAAGCAAGACCCGCGGAGACGAGCGGTGGCGCGGCGAGGAGGCACGAAGCGCCGTCGACCGTCGACGACGCCGTCGTCGTCGTCGTCGTCGTCGCCGCGTCGACGGTACAGCCGAGGGTGGAGAGAGGGACGCCGCGCCGGCCCCTCTCCCTCGTCCCGGGACATTAGGAGTTCGGTAATAAATCTCGTTGAAAAAACGCTCTCACGCGCGCGCGCGCGCACAGGAGGTCTCGCAGGCACGTCTGCTCTCCTCTCTTCGCGTCTGTCTCGTTCGGCTCGTACATCTGTGCTCTCCCGCCGTAGAGCCGCGACGGCAGCGAGAGAAAGACGGAAGGGTGATCGGAGGACCGGGAGGGAGAGGCGAGGGACAAGGTTCCTCCGCGTCTCTCTCTCTCTCTCTCTCTCTCTCGCTCACTGTCTCGTACGCGGCTTAAATCGCCCACCCGCCCCGCGCCATCTCTGTCGCGCACCGACGAGGTCGGGCATGATCTATGCACGCCATGCGGAGGCGAGTGTCACGGTTTGCTTGATGCATTGGTCCTCACTTGACCCCTTACTCCTCCTTCCGTCCCGTCACCCCCCCCCGTTCCGCGCCATTCTTCCTCCTGTCGTTCCGCGGCTGCTCCCCCCCTGCCGCCCCTTACCTCGCCCTCCTTCTACCCGCGATCCCAACCCTCTCGTCGTCATCGACCACGGTGAAAGCGGCGCGTTCTCGCGGAAACCGAGTAACACCCACGTGCACGTAAGTCAGCCGCGACGAGACGAGAGGCCCGTTGAAGGATGACGGAAGGAGGAGAGTCGGTGTGTTACGCGCCGCGCGGCGGCGCGACGAGAGACAATAGCTGCTCCCCGTTTGCGGAAAGACGGGAGACGATTGATGCGAGACGATACGACCGGGCATTTTGTGATCGGAGGGCTTGCGTCGTGGGAACGCAAGGTATCTTCGAATATAACAGCACGATAAAAGGTTACAGTTTTTTTTTCACGCGTAGCGTCGAGCATTCTGGCAAGTAGAAGTTAAAGCCTGAGATAGAAGCATTCATTACGTTGTCGTGTAATCGCTATATAACATGAGAACTCCTATGTGCTGTTATATGACGTGTGTTTATACAGGGTGTCCCAGGAGGAAAGGTCAATATTCTGGGAGGTGATAGTATCGGTCGTTTCAAGCAAAAATGCTCATATGAATATATGTCCCATTCCCCACCGTTTCCGAGCTAGAGCTACTTGAACGTCTCGTGTATTCACTTTTCTTCTGTGCACTTCGCTCTTTATTCAACCCTCATAAACAAAAATCCAATGGGGTTAGGTCTTGAGATCTTGGTGGCCGATTAATGGCGCTGCCACGACTGATCCGCCGATTAAGAAAAGTGACGTCGAGGTGTTGCGTCACAAATCGGGTATAATGAGGTGGAGCTCCGTCATGCTGAAAGTACATAACACGCCGTGTAGCCGAAGGAACGTCTTCTAGTTGTTCTAGTAATGCATTTAGCAGAAATTCCACGTAATTTTGTCCTGTCATGCGATCTTCTAAAACAACGGTACTTGCAAAGTGATTTTGCAACCGTACATTCAAATGGCTCTATCTCGGAAACAGTGGGGAATAGGATATGTATTCATACGAACATTTTTGCTTAAAACGACCGATACCATCACCTCCCAGAATATTGACCCTTCCTCCCGGAACACCCTGTATAAACATGTAACAGCTGCTTTTATATTTTGTGTGTAGGGTAGAGGTGGAGCAGTGATAATTTAATGGTGCCTCACAAAATTTCTCTTGAAGATCGCCAATATTTAAAAAGTTATTTACAAAAAGTTTTAAATGCCCTTCCAGATAAGTATCTCATCAATCCATTCCTGAGGCTACACACTTTTCTATCACGTAATATTTCATTGTTTAAGTGATGCGTGTTAAAGGCTCGATATTTGTATACAACATAACCTATATACAAATTGTCGCGAACGTTGTGAAATTATTATTTGATTGTGTAGAGCACTGTTTTCGTCAAGGGGGCAGATTCGGACAATGGATAGTGAGGCACTTCAATTTTTGAGGCATTCAAGAAATCGCTTCCACTTTTCTCTAGTTGACGATGTCGCTACCATTTCCAGGGATGACATAGAATCAAAATTACCTAAACCAACTTGTGTAACCGGGACCTCACGTTTGGCTTAGTTTTCTAAAGTTTAACGTCAATCTTGATTCTCTAAATATTAAATAAACGTTAAATATAATGTTAATAATTATCAAATGAACATTAAATACAGTATATATCTGTATTTAATAAATATATATCTATGTTGGTAATGTAA